AGCTCTTCTTAGTGAGGAGACGGCTCCCTTAAGGGGTCTCCATGATGGAAGGAGGCGGCTCATTCCCTATGTGTTGGGTTTTGACGAGCTTTTGGCCACAATGCTTGGGTTTTGGGGCTCTAGATTCATTTAGGAGCTTCCATAGGGGATTTAAATGATTTTTAAGGATATACTAAAATCCCAGAGTGTGTACTAATGCATAATAAATCAAATGGTACTAAGAACTTGAACAATATGAGATTTTCAAATAAATTTGCATATTGTATTTGGTTTGGATTATTCAAATTAATAGTGTAGAGGTAAGCAATTTTTAAACCCAATACATAGTTTTATTTATTTATTTATTAAAGCGATGATTTTTAGAAGAGAGTTAATTAGTTGTTGCTGAAGTTGAAATAGACACGATGAAAATGTATGGTGATCTTCTATGCTGTAGAGACTAGAGAGAGAAAGAGAGCTGAGAGACGATTTAAAGAGAGAAAGGAAAAGAGAGATTTTTTTTTTTCTTCTTCTTCTTCTTACATAAGTAAGGGCATTTTAGGGCTTTTATAAAAAAAATTGGTCAAAATTGACGATTAAGGAGTAATTTGCTCAAAAGGTTGATAATACAGGGATTTATTTGCACTTTATTTTTAGTGGGGGTGTTTCTTGCACATTTTTTATATAGCGAGGGGGTTTTATGCACTTAACCCAATTAATAACTATAAATACAGGCCATGTAAAAGGACTCTTTTGTCCAATTTGTGTAAAATTGTGTTTATTTGGGACAAAGATAAAATAAACCTCAAATTGTATAAAATTGGAAAAACCTAAACGTGAATATAATTAAAATTGAAACCAAACGTTCCCTTACTATATAACACACTTACTGTAGCACTATTTATCCAAAATATACTATATAGCTGAGTATATATATATATATATATATATATATATATATATATATATATATATAAAATTGACAAAATAAGAAAAACGCAAACAAATGATTCATTCTCTTCTATTGAATTGTTTTATAGAAACAAAAATAGGGATCACCGATGATGGATACTATTAACCAACATCTGAGAAACCATTTATTCCTCAGTTGCAAAAAAAAGAGAGATTGGTTATCTATTTACATAAATAAATGGCATACTACTTTTCCAGCCTTAGCATAGACATAGAATCTTCAAACCTTCCATCCAGACATGAATTGCATATCGAAAAGCCTTCAGAAATACATTCTAGGATATGGGTTAGGCGGTGAAGACATAAAGTCTTTATTTAGAGAAAGAGGTAAACTTGTCCGATCACCAAAGCCATTCCCAGGAACCAAGTCCAAGCTTTGGTTATCTATTTACATAAATAAATATTTATATCTATATAACAGCACATCAAGGCAATGTCAGGCTGCGTTTTCTCTCTCTAGATTTCTCCCTAATTTTTTTATATATATTTATATTTAGAAACCAAAAAGAAAAAGAAAGATGAATGGAGTCTGAAAATTGGAAACAGACGATGAAAGATCAGAGCCGCCGGTGGCGACGAAGTTTCCAGCTAGATCAGGCAACTTCTGAGGAAGGAAGGTTGAGATCAGGAATCTTGAAATTGATATTAACGAACGCTCTAGGTGGACTATGGTCGGAGTAATTGAAATCAACAACGGAAGAGGAATCAAAGTTGCTCTAGACACCGTCAGCGATCATGTGAGGTAAGTTGATTGGTTACTTCTAAACTTGTTGAGATGTTTATGCATGATATCAGACCGCAAAATCATGGTGTGAAAAGAATTTGTTTGGTCGGTTGACTAAACTCAAATACTCTACTCCCCAACTTTTTCTAACCCTGGAGAAAGAAAGAGGGGGATGAGGGAGAGGGACAAGGAAATGGGTAGGGGTTTATATGCACATATGGGTAAGGGGCAAAATAGGAATCAAAAGGGTAAGATAGGATTTTCATATTTAGATTTTGTCAAAAAGTGGTTAGAGGAACTTATTTACATCTTTTTTGAATTTTATGGACTAACATGCATATTTTTAAAAAGTAAGGATTAGTTTTGCACAAACCCTATATATCAGGGTTTTTTTTTTGCACTTAACCCAATAAATATCCTTATATGTTTGTTTTTCCTCTTTCAACTATATCTTTATCTCACATTGTGCTTTTGATATCCCCTTTCATCTGTATTTTATATTGCATAACTAAAAAGAGCCTGTATGGATTTCCTTGCAGAGCTGCTGATAGTAATAACTATGTTATTCTAATTATCGAGTAACTGCCCTAGTATTAGCAATGCTCGGACCTTATCTTTAAAGTCGATTTCAATAGACTCTAATTGGCTCACGATCTCGTTGAACATATTTAGATGTTCGTAGATACTTCCCCCTTTGGTAATCTTCAAGTTAAACAACTTTTTAATCAGTGTACTTTATTCACTGCAGACGGTTGTTCATACATGCTAAAAAATGTGTCATAAGAGACACCAACGAATTCTCATTCTTAATGTTAAAGGCAATTGACTTTAACAACGTCATATTGATGGTGCCAAGAGTCTTCCAATCAAGTAATTTTCACTTTGAATTCTTCATATCTTATGACTACTCTCCAAAAAGAAGATACAAATTTTTTTATAGAAGTAATCTTTGACTTGCATCTTTCAAGAATGAAATTTATGTTGTCAAACTTCTCGATCATAGATGTCTTATATTTTGATGTCATTGCTCCCACTCGATCAAACAGGTTGAATAGAGAGAATTACTCCTTAAAAACTTGTCAAACGCCCTTGTGCCCTAGGTTTGCAAACCAAAGGCTCTAAAATTAGTTATTGAGCGCAACAAAAGCTCTGATATCAGTTATTGGAAGTAAATCACGCAGAATAAGCTATCAAAGAAAAAAATAATCACACATAATCAACACAAAAGATACATGATTGGGCAAAATCGTTTTGCTACGTCCACGAAGTGCATTAAACAAATTCACTATAAATTAGTTGAAAGATTACAATGGAGAACATCATTTCTCTCAATCTCTATTGTGGTTTCTCTCTTTATGACACACACACTAGGGATTATACAAAACCTAATATATATTAAGGTTGACAAAATTCAACACAACCCGCCAACATGACTCGAAGATGACACGATCAGCAACAATTGTTAAAAATTGTTAATAAGTTGAGGGGGACAGTTTAAAATTTTAAAGAATTACATACAAAACTGTAATTTTTTAAAAGTTGAGAAGGAGACCTTAATTGGCTCCGTCCATGGACACGAAGTTAACGGGTTTGGGTTGATTTTAGTCGTGTTCATGTCATAATCGTGTCAACTTGTTTAAATATTAATCCTAACATGTTTGTGGTACAACATGTTTAACTGATTAGACCCCGTTTAATTTATTGTGTCATGGGTCAAGCTGATTAACTTGATCGTAACTTGTTTTAACTCAATTACTATGGGGAACGGATCCTCTCCAAGGAAAGTTCTCTTCAAACATCTACAGGTATTAATCGTACGACTATTAATGAGCCACATCAACAACTTATTTCACTACTGAATACACTAAAACACGACACTTTCTTACCATTCTGAAACTTTCTTTTTCTATTCATAAATTCTTGGAAATTAGTATTACCCAAATTTGATATTTCTACATAAACCCTTAAAATAACTTTCTTACCGTTAACTTTATTTTTTGATTATCTCTACCATCAACAATCTTTAATTTTTACAATGGAAGATTTGCAAGATTAATCAAACATATATTTTTATTCCCAAATTCTAAAAAAAAATAATATTGCTAAAATTTGAGATTTCTACATAAACCTTTAAAATAATTTTCTTACCTTGAAACTTTCTTTTTCGATTTTCTCTACCATCAACAATCTTTGATTGTTACAATTGAAGATTTGCAAGATTAATCAAACTTATATTTTTATTCACAAATTCTAGAAAAATTAGTATTGTCCAAATTTGAGATTTCTATATAAACTCTTAAAATAATTCTAATCTCCAAAGATCCATGCTATGTGAGATTGATAGAAGAATTGACTGGTTTTGAGAGAAGAATTCAATTATAGGAAGGAAACTGATCCCTAATAGGAAAGTTGGTTGGAAAAGCGTAAGGCTTGATGTGCTTTAATTCAAACGTATTCAGTAATAAAATAAGTTATTGATGTGGCGTCTTAGTAGTCGTAGGATTAATACTTGTAGATACTTGGAGAAAACTTTTTTTGGAGAGGATCCGTTCCTATTACAATGGACACTTCTATTGTTTCAATATAAATTCGATATAGATATTGTATTTAGCATTTTTTTTAATTGTGTTATCCAAATTATACTAATTTTCAAAATTTGGTTTTCTATGATCTTAATTTTTAAAATATGTTTTATTTTTTATAGGTAAATTAATAAGTAATTACATGACTTATTAATGCTAAACGGTTTAAACAGGTTTGAACATTTGACTATGATAGTCTATTAATAATCATCTATCTTAAATAATAATAATCATAATTTAAATACATAAATTCTTCAACATACAGAAGACTTGTAGAGTTGATTCCAGGCTCAGTATTTCCACTCTAATCCATTCAATCGGCAGATGCAACCTAACACTTCAAAATCGATTGGACATCTGGCGGGATTAATACATGACATCTGGCATGTTGTTGTGTCAATGGGAAGACGATTAGGAAGCGGTTTAGAAATTTCAAACTAGACAACTAGAGTAGCATGTCTTTAATATTCACTAACGCCACCTCGACGCTTTCATTAATTAACTAGTTTATATCACTATGCCGGACTTCCATGGCATCTTGAGAGGCCAAATGATAAACGTCAGTGTCTAAAGTTTGGGGTAATCGCGAAATCTGGTGGGCCTATGATCAACTATCTAGAAACAAGCGGGACCCACCTAGTCTATTATGTCGGCCGCTCGCCATTGAATAGTATACTAGAAGAATTATGGTGCCAAAATGCTTTTAATATATCTCTATATCCATCTATAAAAGCCCATGGTTGCCCTTCTTCATTTCACAGCCCAAGTAGTATCTACATTGATCCCATCCCCCTCCTAGGCTTAACCAGTTTCTTCTTTTTATTAGACAATCACTAATCATGGGTGTCACCACTTATACCCAAGAAGACGCTTGTTCCGTTGCTCCTTCCCGGATGTTCAAGGCTTTGATCCTTGACTCCCACAATCTCATCCCCAAAATTGCGCCTCAATCCATCAAGAGCATTGAGTTTGTTCATGGAGATGGTGGAGTTGGAAGCATCAAACAGACCAACTTCCCTGATGGTTAATTTCTCACTTTTATATATCAATAATTACACTTATCTAGCTTATTTTTTTATAATACTATTGCAATATATCTTATATTTTTGTTTGTGTCCGTGTTTGTGATTCGAACAAAGTTTAACACGTACGTTTGTATGCAGCTGCCCCCTTCAAGTATGTGAAACATAGGATTGATGCTCTGGACACAGCCAATTTTTCAAGCAAGTACACTGTGATTGAAGGAGATGTGTTGGGCGACAAGCTCGATTCTATCACTTATGAGGCAAAGATCGAGGCCGGCCCCGGTGGCGGAAGCGTGTGCAAGTTGACAAGTTATTACCACACTAAGGGTGACATTGAAATCAAACCAGAGGAACTCAAAGCTGGCAAAGACAAAGCCACTGAAATGTTCAAGAAAGTGGAGGAGCACTTGCTGGCACACCCACAACTATATGCTTAAGTCAAGTGTGTGTATGTTAAAAACCGAGCTTTCACTCCATCCCCTATGAGATCGATCTTCCCTTTCTCATGTAAGTCAAGGAGTACTGGTTTTTAATCATTCAGGATAAAAAATAATAATAGTGAGTGGTTTTTAATTTTTATTTTGGCTTTATGATAATAAGAACAACAATCCTTTGTGATACTGGTAAAGAGTAGCAAAGGACATTTGAGGTGTTTGGTGTGAACTATATGTATTATAGTGAGGCATGTACTAAGGTCGTTTTTGATAAGACCCAAAAATAAAAATGAGGAAGATGGAGTGTTGTAATAAATTGTGATATCTGTTGTGTTTTAAATTTGTACTTGAATGCTCTGTGTTTCTTCTTTCCACTCTTGCAGTGAAGGCTCTTGCTGCTTCGAAACTAAAAATCCTCTGCTTTTCTTCTTGTTATTTTATGATAGATGTGATCAATCTTTCTTATTGATGAAGATGTCAGTTGTTAAAATTGGTTAATTGATGAAGAAAGGATTGTTTCAACCTGGCAGACCATATGATCCATTTAGAATCAAATTGATAAATTGGAATACCTTTTCCAGTATGTCAAAGATATATCTCTACTGAATAGAAGAAAGGATTGTTTTAACCTGGCAGACCATCTGATCCATTTAGAATCAAATTGATAAATTGGAATACCTTTTCCAGTATGTCAGATATATCTCTACTGAATAGAGGGGAAAGGGAAAACAAGCTTTGTTTTATGATACCATAATACACACACAAATAAAATAAACTCAAGGCATGACATGAATGCACTCAAAAAAATGGCACCACATAAGAAGTAGTGGTAATGTGCGAATCATTATTATTTTGACACAAAAAAGAGTATTTTCCACACCCCTTCTTGTGTTCAAGACTAGTAAGACGAAAATTTTATTATTCCCCGCTTACATATGTGTAGTATCTAGTCAAATTTGATTTTCGTTGAATAAAAAACAATTGATGTATATTATGACATTTAAATACGAGAATAGTAACATAGTCACACCACTCCAATTTGGATTAAAAAAACAAAGAGAGGGTAAAGTCAAATAGTATTCCCGGCATATAGTAGAAAAAGAATATATAAACAAGCAACAGTTTTTCTTTCATTATTTAATTTTTTGACCATACATAATTGCCAAGAAGTTGGAAGTGCGAAATAACTTCTAGGTTAGAGCTAGGCCTCGATGGCATGTTAAAGGAGAAAAACAAAGAGTCACGGATTTAACTTTTTAAAGGTGTAATTAGAAGAAATTAAATACAATTGTCAATTTGATTTTCTCATGTAAAAATCCTAAAGATCCATCCATGCAAAGTGAAGGAACAAAAAAGAAAAAAATGAAGACACGGTAATAGAAGGACAACATTCACTCATATTTAATAAATTATAACGTGTTTATTAGCAAATCGTGGCAATAATGCCAATGGAAAAAAGAAATAAAACAAAAAGTGAGACAAAATTTATGATGGAGAATTGTCCCACATCATCGAGACGAGATAAATAGACTTTTTAGGCATAGACAGTAGGGTTGGCGACGAGGTGATTTTCGACAACCTTGTACATCTCCGAAGCCCTTTCTTTTCCAGCCTTGATCTCCTCTTCTTTAAGCTCGGCACCATCCTTTGCCACCTTATAATGAGTTGTGGTCTTGCAAACGCATCCTGAACCAGAGGGCTCAAACTTAATCTCATAACAAATGGACTCGATATTCTTGCCCAACATATCACCCTCAAATACAGTGTACTTGATTTCGTTGTTGTTTTCGTCAAGGCTATCAATTTTGTGCTTCATGTATTTGAAACGACTCCCTACCACACGAATACAACAGAGTATAAAATGTAAGTATATGATAGTAATTAATTGTGGATATTTATATATATGCAATGCAACGACATATAAAATATAAAAATTGATAAAATAGTAGTAATTTGGATGAATTTGGAAGTGATAAACCTTCAGCGAAGTTGGTTTGTTTAACAGTGCCAGGACCTCCATTTCCTGAAACAACATCAATGCTTTTGATAGATTGAGGCACAATCTTAGGGAGGAGGTTTTGGGGGTCAAGGCACAAAGCCTTGAACAACCTTGCAGGAGGAACTGGTGAAGTGAACTCATGGTTAAGAGTGGTGACTTCACCTCCAGCTTTTGCCATAATGGTAATAGTTAAAAACAAGAAAGATTAATTTGGGGTTTAACAAGAAAGAAACAAAGAATATTGTTTTTTTTTTTGTTGGACTTGAAGTTGTGGGTAGAGTTGGATAATTGGTATGCTATTTATAGAGTTGGGAGTCCTGCTTGTATGGGCATTTCAGGTGAGCAAAAGTCTTGGAATCCGGAAAAACAGAAAAAAGGAGAAACAATCGGGTTCAACGTTTAATATCCCACTCAAGGCGCCACTTTTATGGAACAGATGATTGACCGGTTGTCACAAAATGGGCTTATCCATCATCAGTCATGGGTCTGCTGTGTTGTAAGCTTGGCCCATGGAATAGCCGCTCGCTTTTGGGCTGTGGCATTCTCACCATCCCTAGAAGCTAGAAACGGACACACTTGTGTTGGAAAACGGTGAAACAATGAATACTCGAATGTTTATCGGATTACGGCCCAATTTTTACGTGTTCGACCAATTCATCTATTTACTGAGTACTTTAATTTCACTTTCTAGTTATATTTTACAACTTTAAAAAATTAAGGATGGGTTGGCAACTTGGGCTTGGGTTGATTAGCTCAGAATGATAATAGAATTGTGTTGGGTTTAGATATTCGGGTTGAACCCGAATTAACCCGCCCAATCTCCTAGAGTTGCACCTCTACTTGCAACTTGAATTGAATTCTCTGTTTTAATTCGGATTTCTAACCTACTAACAAATAAAATAATCATAACTTTTTTAACAATCAAAAACTAATAAGTTGAATATATCATTACATAATATTATGGTCCATAAACAAAAATTAATAACTATAATATTGTAAATCCTAACTTAGTACAAATATCACGTATAAAGTAATCGCTAAAAATAACCAAACATATATGCATATAAATTACAGCCAAGTCAACTCACTAAACAACATATGCAACCAATATATATATATATATATATGAGGATATCAAAAATGGCCTGGGCCGGGCGCGATCCAGACTGCTAGGAATGGGCTGGGCAAGAGCAACCGTTTCAAACCAAGTCTTCAATGGTCAGGCCCAAAACCAGAAGATCAGATTGGAAGCCCAATTTTGAATAAAAGGAGTTAAGCTCATAATTAAGAAGAGCTCAGAAGAATAGCCCAATGCAAGGAGTTAGTTAGGAAACTTTTAGAAAATCTATCTATAAATAGACTAAAAATAAAGAGAAAATGGGTTGAAAAATTTCTTGAAGTGTAGAATTATCCTTTTCAAATGGAGAGTATTTTTCTTGCATTTTCAATATACATTTATAATATATTACATGTATATTGGATTGATGGTTTGGGACCGTTTACTCTGACATCCGCAAGATTTGTATATATATATATATATTATTAATTATTTTTTAACCATTTTTTTTATTTATGTAATCCATGCTAACGGTGATATGAAGATTGAACAAAAAAAACTTTCAACCAATAAAGTTCCAACTTTTTTGTTAAAAGGCCAAAGAAAGCTCATCTTCACATTTTTTTTTTTTTTTCGTAAATAAATTATTATTATTTTTTTGTAAATAAAAATTGTTGGTTTATTTTTATTTTTATTTTTATTTTTATTTTTTATTTTTTATTTTTTATCCTGGCAAGAATAAAAATTGTTGGGATTGGCCCTCCCGTGTTCATGATGAACCGTGATTCAACCATGACCTTTAGAGATCAAGCACAGTATCACACACTCTATGTACTATCTATGTTACTAGAGAGGTACAAACAAATAAGAAACTTACCTTAATTCTCTTTATAGGTAATAATGGTTTGGGATGAGATCTGATATCCACGCAAAATAGAGAGAAAAATTGGAGGTGGAGGCAAAATGGTGGAGTGCAACTGTTAAAAAAAAAAATGTTAAGGTAAAATACTCGCACACCAAAAAAATGCCCCACTACAGTCTACACATATCAGACGACCATGCGGGCCAGTGGTGGTTATTATATGGTTTAAAACTTGTTAGGGCTGGCTGAGTTTGACCCTTACCTCACTTTCTTTTTCTCATCTCTGGCGGGGCAATAGAAAGCGCAGCAGCAGCTCAGCAAGCTACAAGCGAAACAAAGGGCGGTAAAGCCAGGAAGAAAGCAACTGAGAGTTTCAGTATCACTATCAACAAGATTGCCTTATAGAATAATCTTAGAGAGCTCCTAATTTTGCTGCAACACAGCCGACGCCCAAGGATCGTAACCCTAGATTGCCACCACCAAACTCCCCATCGACACCGCTGAAACCTTCCTCTGCTGAAGTACCACCGACACCCCAGATTGCAAGAAAACGGGTCAGACCCTCAGTCGGCACTGCATTTGGCGGTGCACACTTACACAACCCGGCGACCATCAACAACGGTAATATCGACGTCGGAAACTCAGCGAGGTGAATACCGATATGTCCTTTCCTTTTTTACTCTCTCTATTTCATTCTGTAGTGATATTCATATATATATATATATATATATTCACACACATACAGGATTACATACACGAATTATTTTGTTATGTTAGTAGGGCATATAACTATTCAGGGTAAAGCTGATCTGATATGCAATTGGAGTATTATGGTGTTTGTTAATAGGCAGATTCATTTGCAGACTAGAAAGGGAAAAGTATCTATATGTATACTAGTTCAAGTTTCTTTCTTTCTTTCTTTATTTTGTTCTTATTTTTATTTATTTTTATAGAAATTAAAGCCCAAAGTAATGAGTGGGGATTCTTTGGAGAAACTCAGAACTCTTCATATCTCCTCTCTTGATGAGGATGAAGGAGCTGGAGTTGATGTTGATGGAGAATTTGATATGTATAAAGACAATGACGAAGATGACGATGAAGAAGAAGTACCTGTAGCACTAGGTTTCGTCGAAAAGCCTAAGAATCGCTGGTCACTTCTTCGTCAGTTATTTCCAAGCAAGGCTGGGGGTGTTCCTGTACGGTTACTGCCCTCTAAGTAATTTTTTTGTTTTAATTATGGGAACAAATTATGTTATTGTTGTGAATAATTAATTTTCTTGAATTGTAGGCTTGGTTGGATCCCATTGATTTGCCTTCAGGAAGATCTTGCATTTGTGACATTTGCGGTGAGCCTTTGCAATTCCTGCTTCAGGTATATTTCTTTTCCCATTATCATGTAATGTAATGAAAATTGTTATATATAATATATATCAAGTATATTGATTGAATCTTTGCAGTTTTTGTAATTACTATATCATGCTTATTTATTTACTATGCAGCATGTGAAAGTCAGGCAGTGAGAGAAGTCTCATCATTTTTCCGCCTTTACTTTAGCTGTATTCTAAACCTCGTTTTGTGTGCTATGCATTAGAGGGAGCAAGAGTGCTATGACGCTGTCTTTGATGATAGTTCTTTATGTTTCATGAGTTCATAGGTTTATGCACCACTCTTTGAGAAGGAATCAACATTTCATCGCACATTATTTGTATTCATGTGTACGTCGATGGCTTGTCTTCTCCAAGACCAACATGAGCAATGGAAACGCCAACCAGAGAAAGCAGCTCGCAGGTATGCATTAGGATTTAATCTACTTTTAAAATGTTGTGTGTTTTTTCCCCGTCAATCCGAAATATTATGAATCATTTTACTCTCTTTTCCTTTTTACTTCAATGTTTCTGATTATAACTTGTTTTTTTTTTTTTAAGTGTGAAGGTTTTTCGTTGCCAATTGGCCCGCTCCAATCCTTTTTACTCAACTGATCCTCCAAGAAATGATGGGACTGACAAGCCTTCTGGAATTGGAGGTAGCTTGTGATTTTGTTTCATTTGCCTTTATGGTTTAATTTTAGCCAGCCATATTGATAATGATGATTATTAGTGTTATTAACTCGGCTCTTCAAAGCCTTAATCCTGGCCTCTTCGAGCTTCTGCATTGATATATATATATGTATGTATATTGTTTTTTGTTTTTGGTAATTTATGCTTCTGCTAAGGGTTTTGATCCATATGTCTAATTTTTTAATCACGTGCTTTAGGATCTAAATAGAGAGAATTCAGGATTTTAATTTACTGATAAATAGGAGGATTGGATACTGGAGTTGGATTGGGAGAAATTAGGGATATAAAAGAGAGTAGAGGTAGGAGATTATATTCAACTTAAACACTCCTTGTGCATCTAGAGTCCTCCATGGGATAGAATTAAAATGACTTCTTTCAACTTGTTATTTCAAATCCATCTTAACAATGCTTCAAATCTCATGGGTCTTAAGATCCAAACTAAGCCAGCCCGAAACTGTATTGGTGGCCTTCCAATCTGTTGCGAACCGGCCTGTTCAGCGAATCATGATATGGGCTGAAACTTGGATGAACACATCTGTGCACTTTTAACTACTCATGTTGTTACATTTTAATATCTTCATAATCTGATCTCTTTGATGCCTTGCTGCTTGCTTTAGCTTCACTCTGTAGTTGGTGCGGTACCTGGAAGGGAGATAAAGTTTGTGGTAGTTGCAGAAGAGCACGATATTGTTCAGAGAAACATCAGGTTGCTGAAGCTAACTATGATTTTATTTTATTTATTTAGGTTATCCTTACTGATGCTTTCTATCTTGTTTGCAGGCTGCGCACTGGAAGATAGGTCACAAAATTGATTGTAGACAGTTGAACATTTCTCCTCAATTATCTGATTTTAGCACCAGCAATAGTCCAGCAGATATACAGAAAGGCCAGTATAGTTGATTGCTTTACCATGTATGTATGGTTTGCATGCACTTATATGGGTTGTACATGCCTACAGGGGACACATGATTATTAGTGTAGCATCATGATGACTGCTCACTCCTTAGATGGCATTTACATCTGATATATTGATCCTTCCATCTGATATAAATAGCATGATTTAGATTATGTTGCTCATATTGGTGGTTTGTCCCTTGTTCCCTAGAATGAGAGATTGTGCAATATATATTTAGATTTTAGAAGATTTTAGAAATCATTGAGTCAACATTAGCTCTAACTCCAGGGTCCTCGCTAAAGTTTAATTGGAGGTATCAGATTCTCAGAATTTTCACAGCTGATTAGAATTTTATTTGCGAACAGTTGCAAGCAATACTATATGGTCCCAATATGAGATCGTAAATGAGGATGAATGTGAATTCGATGTAGAGATGTCTGAAGATACTAAAAATGCTAATTCATTGGTTTCTGTGAGCCAAATGGATGACACAATCAAGTCACTACTAGACAATTTTGAGGTATGATTTACTGTATCGATGATTATGTAATAATGTTTATGTTCATGAACCTCTACAGGCTCTGTTTTGTTGTTGGTAAACAGGGGGACGCTGATAGGAAGAGTTGGGCCTCTTTCCAAGAGCGCATAGCCAGGGCACCTGAACAAGTACTGAGGTAAGTTGGCACATTTAATAGGAGGATGCATGTTTCTGTTTTACATACGTGCTATAATGAAAAACAATTTACAGTCTTTGTCTTCATGTGAAGATATATACTGAATCAACAAGTCTTTGTTACATGTGTAAAGACTAGTGTAGTATCTATGCCATTATTTCTATTTCTAGATGCCATGTGTTATTTTGACTTCGGTTGTAATTAGGTATCATGCATACTCAGTTGGTTTCCAATTATGTAGAAGCAAACATATGTTTCCAAAAAACAATTTATAGGAAGCATGTACTCAAAAATTTTAAATAAAAAGAATAAAATCAAAATATGGTGGTTGTTAATGGTGAAATTTTTTAATGCACTTTCTGAAATCTGAATCAACGTGGCAAATAAAGGTTAAGGTAACATATTTAAATATATTTTATAAAAGGTTATACTACAAAATTTCCTTTTGCTATCATTGGTTTTGTTGGCCAATCAGAATTGATCTTTGGGCCACAAGATTTTTGGAGAAGGTATACCCTATAGGGTTGAAATATTCTTTTGCTACCACTTATCCAAAAAAAAAATTTCTTTTACTACCATTGTCCTTGTTGGCCAACTACTAGATTATTTTTGCTGCATGAAATATACTCGCACACACACTCATTCCATATATAAAGATGAATTTTGTTCATGTAGTTGTATAATACTTTCTGAATTAATGTAAAAATTTAAAGACTACTTTTTTCTCTGTGATGAAAACGGATAGGATACTCTATTTGAAATATGAAAAATTATATATATATCCAAGAAACTCTTTAAAATAACAAATTTTAAAATACCTCTAATGTTACATTTTTTATTTTGCGTACAATAGTATTGTTATTACTTATAAAATTGTTGAAATATCAGGTATCATCTTTTTGTTTAGAAGATAAAAAAGGGTTTTTAGTACTCATGTTAGGAGAAAATTCCATACTTAATAATCTTATTAATATATAAACATTAGCCTCATCTCATGATTATTAATTATTGGAGAGGTGACCGTATAAGTATCTATATATAAAAGGTCATTGCTTGGTGTATGTGCCGCCTACATGGGATATTGGAGATGGACCCAGCCTTGAATTATTTGATGCACAAAGTGGTTGTTCTTAAACGTGCATTCTAAAGCTTGTAGTCTGAACTTCTACAATTGCACCAAGCAACCGTCCATCTATGTGCTATTCATTTATAAATTCTTTTTTCACCATACGATCTACTTTCTTCCCTGTTGTTATTTATTTTGTGCGTAATGCATAGACAAATCAAAAGATGTTGGAGTTGCAGTAGCCCTAATCTTACTAACTGGCCAAGTCACATCTTGAAATCTAATTATTATCTCGAAACAGTACCTTTAGCTATAATATTCATTTGGTTCGTTTAGTATACTTTTTCTATAAATGCAACAGGTATTGTAGATACGAAAGAGCTAAACCCCTATGGCCTATGTCAAGTGGCCGGCCATCGAAGGCTGATATTCCTAATTGCAGAAGCTGTGGTGGCGTTCGAGGATTTGAATTCCAGGTATTATCCTCTTATATTTCTTCTATGCGTGTCTCTAATTAATCTGTCGACCCCTTTGCCCCATCATTTCTGCTTATTACCTAGAATTTGATCTGCAATTAGATTCTTCGGCTTAAGTTTCTTTTTATTGGTGGTTCCAGATTTTGCCACAGCTGCTTTATTACTTTGGTGTGAAAAACGATGTGGACTCTCTTGATTGGGCAACTATTGCTGTGTACGCATGTGAATCTTCCTGCGATGCAAGTGTGGCTTACAAGGAGGAATTTGCTTGGATTCAACTTGCTTCCCAATCTTCTACAATACCTTGATTTTTACTCATTATTCTGGCAAGTCTCATATCCGCCACAGGTTTTTTGCTTTGGTTAAGTGCTTATCTTTATTACTTTTTTTTTTTTTCTTCTTTCATTGGTTGGGTGTTTGGGAGTTCGGAAAACATTTCTCACTTTTTACATTGTAGTTTTTTAAAAATTGAAATTACGAGACAATCCTTTCATCTTTTCTTTCCTCTCTCTCTCTCTCCACATTATTCCTAGTCCAAATTTCCAATGTCTTCCTTCCTCCCCCTCCTTTTCCCAGTTCTGAATAATTTGATCATCTAGTCTAGTATCTTATCTTACAACATAGTCGGGTCTTAATCTGGAAAGATAAGGAATTGTATAATTTGTATTATCTTTGACCCCTATGATTGTGGTCTTGATCTGTATGTTGAAACAAGGTTATGTAACTGACATCATACAGATGGGATAAGATATTATGGAGTATTTATAATTCTTGTATGCACATGTCATCATGATGTTTGAAGGTTTCCTGTTTGTTTGCATAGTACTGAATGTAGCCATAGAAGCAATGCCTCAAATTTTCAATTCTAAAATTGTTCTCTAAGGTTTCTAAATAATTACAAAAAGTGAATGGACAGAGCTCGTGTCCTATTAATTCAGAAATTTCTAGTACATTTGTAAAATTTTGAACAGGTTAGCTTACAGATTTTGCTTTTTTTGTATTCCATTCTTCTTGTATTCCATTTTGTTCGTCTGATTATGGATAAATTCCACTAACCCCCCTTCTAGTTAAGTGAACCGCCCTATTTGTTAAAAACTTACACTGGCCTCTCTTGTTGGATATCATTATTGGGTGGGATAGCCAGATATGGCATCCTGTTGATGGGAAATACATCATTGCATGTGTAATATGTGATATCAAAGGCCTAATATAGTTTGTTTGGTCGAGCCCTATTATGTTTTTCATTGTAACACATACACATGTAACTTTAGCTTCCCTGGTTAAATAATATTCTATTATTCCGACTTTGCAGCTTTCCAGAATGACAACAGAGCTCGAATATGTGGGATGTGATCTCGTATTGAAGCATAGAAATCTATTTCTACAAATGCGCTTGAAAATTTTGTTTTATTTGTATGCAAACACAGATACTATTTGTCATATTATGTTCATGGAGAAGCAAAAATTATCAGTCTTTTTCATTTGATTTTTGTAGTGGAAGTTGCAATGAACATGAGGTACGATTATATAGGGCAAGGGGGACATTACTCTGGTTGGGTCTCTCTTGATGAATATTGTTGAGATGAGCTGGCTTAGGTACGCATATATTGCATTTTAAACATTTTGTTACAGAATTTGCAATTTTTTACACATTGTATTCAGAGTTGAACTGGCATTTTTGTCCTTGGCAGTCCGGACTGATTTTATTTTTTATTTTGTTTTCCCCCGAAAGGTTAAGCAAATATAGCTAGTGGTGGCAAAATGGGTTACAACTCATCAACTTGCCCATATCCGTCCGTTTTTAAATGGTTATGAGTGAATTTTATTTAACATGGGTCAAACATGAGTTGGGTAATTTTTAATTACTTAATTTGAGGGTCAAAATGGGTTGAATACGAATAATCATATTCAATTCATATTTCACCAATCACATAATAGACATATAACACATATCTATTTTATATTATACTCAATTTATTTCTCTCTCTTTCTAAAATTCTCTCTCACGAAGGGCTGCAAGTTGGGCTGGCCCAACCCAGTCCAATCCGAACCTGAAATCGAGTTGGGTTGGGCCAACCTGAATTCTACTCAAAATGAATTATGTCCATAACCTAGTTTGAATATTTTAGGCGGATCGGGCAAGTTTCAATAGTCAAATTTTTTTAAAAACTTCAATATTTTTGGCGCGTCGGTCGGGTTTCATGGGTCTTTTTTTTTCAATTTTTTTTTTTTTTTATCAAATATGTAAATTACATTTTCCTTTTACATGTTTGTAAAAATCAAAATTTTTAAGAAAATTTTATTTTTAAAAGATTAATATTTTGGGTGCGTTTCACGGGTCAATTTTTTATTTTATTTTATACACATTACATTAAAAAATTATTTTTACATTTTCCTTTTTCCATGTTTGTAAACATAAAAATTAAAAAAATTATTTTTAAAGCTTAAATATTTTGGCGGGTCGGTCGGGTTTCACGGGTCATTTTTTTTTTTTTTTCAAATATGCAAATTACATTTTCTTTTTCCATGTTTGTAAACATCAAAATTTTTACGAAAATTTTATTTTTTTAAACATCATTATTTTGGGCGGGTCGATCAGTTTTCACGGGTCTGTTTTTTTTTTTTTTTACACATCAAAATTTTTAAGAAAATTTTATTTTTTAAGCATCAATATTTTGGGTGGGTATGTCGGGTTTCACGGGTCAAATTTTTTTTTTTTTTTTTTTTTTTTCAAATATGCAAATTACATTTTCCTTTTTTTTTAAAAAAACATCAATATTTTGGGCAGGTCGTGTAGGTTTCACAGGTCAATTTATTTATTTTTTATTATTTTTATTTTTTACAAATATACAAATTACATTTTCCTTTTCCAAGTTTGTAAATATCGAAATTTTTAAAGAAAATTTTATATTTTAAACATCAATATTTTGGACGGATCGGTCGGGTTTCAAGGGTCAACTTTTTTAAATAAAAAAAAAAAAAATCAATATAGGTCTTAATGGGTTGACCCTTTACATTTTTTAAATATAATTTTTATAAAATAATTAAAAATAAAAAATAATAATTAATAAATTCACGGGTTATAATTGGTTGACCTTATACATTTTTGACCTGTTCATTTTCATCCCGTTCTGAACGGGTTGAATATAGGTCTTGACCCATATTTGATCCGCCCATTTTCAACCCGGCCCAACCCGCCTATTTGCCACCGCTAAATGCCTGTTTGGAAGGAGGTTTGATATTGATTTGGGTGTTTTGATTTTGTATTTTGGGTCAATATCATGTTTGGAGTGGGTTGATATGGTATTGAATAGTGTCAAAACATGTATTAGATTTTAGCGAAAACCCATATCACCAATTCGGTGATATTGGCTGTTTTCGCCACTGTAGCAGAGATATCGGAGATATCAGTTTGGGCTGATATCAATAACAAGTGAAATACCACAGTAACGGACATAACAGGTATATAATTTCGCAAATCAGAAAACTCTCATTTTTTCTCTCTTCGCGTAACTGCTTGGAAGCAATTTCATTGGCGATCTAGCAGAGCTCCTTCATACACAACCTCCTTCACCACCGATTTGGCAGAGCTCCTCTACCAGTGAGAACAACCACTTTCGCCTCTCATTTCTCTCTCTTCTCACAGCTCGGTTGAGGCAATTTTATTTGCGCTTCTCATTTCTCTCTATTCTCGCAGATCGTGGTTGGTAAACCACAGCTCAATCATTTTTGTCTGCAAATCTTTCAAAAACCCTACCATTTTCATCTCGGGCTGAGCTTTCCTATCGTTTCTCTCTATTCTCTGCTTGTGTGATTCGAATCTAAAACCTAGTTCTTGGCTCGCGACCACGGATCGAAGGTTTTCTTTGCAAATCCATTGGTTTTCCTCTCGTTTCTCTATTCTCTACTTATATAATGCGAATCTGAAACCCTAGTTCTCCGCTCGCGACCACAAATCGAAGGTATTTATGTGCAAAAGCATTGGTTTTGCTCTGTTCTCTGCTTCCGTGACGTGAATCTGAAACCCTAGCTTGTTTAATATTATGCTAATACGAAAGATTAAAAAAAATTCAGGTCTTTGAATCTAAATTTTATACGACTTCCTAAACGGATTTTGTTTTCAGATTTCTTGAAACGCATGCCATTATCAAATGACATTATCAAATGCGATTTCATGTTTTTGATATTAAATTATCAAAAATAAAAAAGTCGTCACCAAACATAGTTTCAATTTTTATTAAAAATATTATTTTAATATCATACCAAATCATAATGCCTAAAACATATCGCAATCCAAACGGCCTAAATATAGCCCTGTTATTGTTGTAGCAAGAAATAGCCCTTGTTTTAATTTTTATTCCATGTACCAAATAATCGTCACTCTGTGACAAACTCTCTGTTGGACTTTTGGAATGACTTTAAGATGACAAGACCTGGCTAAGGTTCATGATCTTAAAAGATGAATCTTGTGCCTCGGTTTTACCCAAGAGCATCAGTTAAGTGGCAACGCCGCTCAATGTTGAAAAATAATTTAATAATCAAGCTTCTTGGGTTTGAGTCGAGCTATGTGATCATAATTATATATATATATATATATATATATATATATTTATTTATTTATTTACATTGTGCGAAGTATCGTAAAGGCACTTTAGACTCTATTTGGTTTGGTAGAATCAATTAAAAAAAAAAAAAAAATTGAAAATTTTATAATTTTTTTAGAGTTTGGATAGAATGAAAATGAAACGTTCTGAAAAGTTTGAATTCTTGTAACCCGTTATTTTCCCCAAAACATTTCCTGCCCAAAACACGAGAAAATAAAATTTTCTTGTGAAAGCAATGTCTTTCTATTTTGCATTCCTATGTTATCTACCAACTATATTGATAATTGTAAGCCACCAATAATTATTTTATTTTAGGGTAATTTGTATTCACACTCTCTCAGGTTTGCAATAAAGACAAGTAGATACAATTTAGGGAAAGTGTGATTCAATTGCCCCCTCAAGTTTACAAACTTGAACAACACTACCCCCAACCATGATAAGAGTACGTAATTACCTTTTGACTTCTGAATGAACCCATTTAAATTATGAAAGTATAATATTAACCTTTTACAAGTCCTTTGATTTGACCAAAATGACCGTTGGCAAAAAAAATAATAATATAAAAAAAATTAAAATTAAAATTAAAATTTGCACCATTGCACTCACAATTTTTTTGCAAAACCTTATTATAGCATTAAATTAAAATTATTTATGGTAATGTTTTACATAAAAATTAAAGTTGGCCTTCTCAAATTTTTTGTAACACTCTATTTATGGTACTAAATCATAGATAATAATATTTATTTTCTATACAAAAATTAAAGTTGATTTCTCTAATTTTTTTTTTTTAAATCTATATGGTTACTTGATATTAAATATAGTTTAGTAATAAATTACTTTTAACCCCTTCAAATTCCAATAAACATCTTGCTATAAAAGATCAAATTTAGTAAAAAATTATTAATTATTATGGTAATCCTTATAACAACATATTATATTTACGCACACATATATAAATATTATTTGTTATGAATTAGAAAGAAAAAAAAAAATTATTTAGTTGACAACAACAATGATTCAATCGACAACTTTTCTCTTCAATTTTATTGTATATTATTTATAAACACATTTTAACAGTATACTAATAACTTGCAAAAAAAAAAAAAAAAATCCTTACAATGATTTTATGTCATTTTAAAATTTTAATTTTACATGTCTAGTTTGGCCCACCAATAAAAAATTTCTGGGTCCGCGCCTGTTTATATGCATATGGTATTGGCGGCAACAGTGGTGGAGTTTGATTATTATTATTATATTTTGCTAAGGGTCATTTTGGTCAAATAAAATGACCTATAAAAGTTAATATTGTACTTTAATAATTTATATGGGTCAATTCAGAAGTTAAAAGGCAATTAGGTACTCTTATCATGGTTGGGGTGTTGTTGTTCAAGTTTGTAAACTTGAGGGGGCAATTGGAATCCACTCTCCCTAATTTGTATCTATCCGTCCTTACTGCAAACCTGAGGGGGTGTAAGTGCAAATTACCCTTTATTTTATTTTTTATTGGATTTCAGAGAATTATAAACCAATAATAACTTTATTGGTGATAGAGTTTGAGTTAATTTAGACTTCTATAAATAGTAATTTGTAAGAGTCAATTAATTGAAAACTATATCATTTTTTTTAGATATATATTACTACTATTAATTCTTTATTATTCTACTATTTATTTTATTATTTTTCTATTTTTATAAAGTAAGAAAAATATAACATAAGGACAATTTAGGTAAGTGCAAATATTTTTAGTAACTTTTATACTCTTCAATACAATTTTTTTTTGAATAATTTTCACTTTAACGGCTTAACCAAATGTATGCTAGAAAAAAAAAATTCTTTTCATTCACTTCATTTTTCTTTTTATTTTCCATTTCTTTTCTTTTCTTCCTAATTCTATCTAACCAAACAGAGTCTCAGGGGACTTGATTTAAGAGAGTTTTTTTTTATAAAAATATTATTATTATTATTATTATTATTATTATTATTATATGTAATGACCCTAAACTAATGCCAATTTTAAAAAAAAATTGGCATGACCTCTACTAAAAAGGGGCCTACAATAACATGCTTAAATAAAATAAAATAAAAATACAATGGCCTTGGCCCTTCA